TAGTATTACGATTTGCTAAACATTTTACACCACAGCCCCGTATTGTGGTCGCCATATTTCTGTTTAACTACTGCATACAATTTTGCGATATATTTAACTTTAATCTTCAAAATATTTGTATTTATTTCCGCTTTACAAGTGCTTCTGGGAGAAGTTGAAAGTTTCTCTGACAGTTTGTGGTGCTCCTTGAAAAAATTGTCTTGGAAATTACTTTTGCATGAATTTTCTGTGGATGGCAAAAAGTGCGGGAACAATTTACGCAATTGCAGGACATAGCTCGTGACAGTTTTAAAATTTGCATAGCTATGGTAATATTTATTTGGTTGTTTATTACATTTAAATTTCAAATTTTTGTGTTTTTCTTAAATTTATTTGATTTACAATCAAGATTGAGGTACGAAGCAATTTTTGATTCCTAAGATTCTATATAAAACGTATTGCTGCGTTTTAGCCCAATAGTCAGCCTACTTTTTCTCGACAGCAATTGGCAACAGAAATGAAATGGCCAGAAAGATGCCAGTTCCGGATTAAACATGGAAAATATTTTTGTAAGATATCCTTTTGCTCTGAAGAGGAAAATCTTCTGATTGGTTCTAAGAGAGCTTATTCTCTTTTTTTTGTTGAGCTCAAAGGAACAAGTTTTATAAGGAGTTTTTTATGTAAGAAGAAGCTTAAACAGATTAATTTTTCCTTTTGAAATACAAGTTTAAATTTTTCAAATAGTTTTTTGATTAATAACGATTATGATTATGCCACACAAATTTTTTATTTATTTTTGTACAGACAATAATCAAATTGATTCTCGTTTAATAAATAATAATAATATTTGGATTCAATCTGTTGTCTGCTAGATAAAAACTCCAATTATAATTGTGAATATTGTGTGAAACTAAAATAACATTAAATTTGAATCAAATTTTGTATTCAGTGAAAAGCTTTATTTTAAGCGCCAAGGGGGGGAAATCAATTTATTTGAGCAGACACAATTAGGGAGAACTGAAAATTTAATTTCAAAGAGACAGGGCAGTATTTTACTCAACTCTCAAAACTCGAATTGAGTCTTTTCTCCTGCGGCTGTGTGGTGGAAACTAAAGTTTGGACTGGGACCCCGACGGAAAACTCCTCCGTTGACAGCCTTAACATGCATTTCGCGCCTCAAGAACGAACGTTCAGACAGACTCAGAGTCATTGTACGTTCTTAAAGCTTATATATGAATAAGTAGGAAGCGGAAAAAGTTTTCCTGAAATTTCTGGTGGCTGTCAGACGAGTGCCAGAGGACCGAGGACGGCCACAGAATGGCGACAATAATGAGGGTGATGGGAAAACCAAACTCCCAGCGATGCGGAGCCCCCTTGGACTGAGTTCACTGCACTCGACGGATTATGGACAAGTGTCTGAGTCATAACCAAAGTCCAATTCCATAATTATCATTTTTTATGACGAGTTCAAGTGAAAAACTGGCGACTTCCTTCTCCATTCACAGAAGAAAAGCAGAAACAATGAAGGGGAATCCCAACTAACAAACGCGAAACTTTTTCACCAACTTGAAGACTTTTTAATGTCTTCGAGCGAAGCGTTTAAAAGAGCCATAAAAAAGCGTTTTATTGTCTCGACTCGACTTTCCCCATTTTGCACAACCATTGCCCCAGGGCATTCGCCTCCTTTCGGCTTTTGTTTGGTTTGCCTCTGACATGGCCTTTGTGTGCTGGCTGTTCATTTCCGTGCAGACTAAAACAAAAGGCGTGTTAATTTAATTAGGGCCAATTCAGCTTCAGGCGGTGCCACATAATCCCAAAAATCGAACATCAAGTTCCTTCTGGCATACAACCAAATAATTTATAATGATAGTATTTGCGGTTGATACTTTCTATCGATTGGATATGCTATGGATTTTTTCATGTAGTTGTTAGTGGTATTTTAGATTAGTAACAGTTCAACAGTTCATTTAGCTCTTAATTGAATTTTTGCAAATGTTTTATCTGAGTTAAGTCTAGGCCAGAGAATGAGGACACTAAGAAACTATGATCGCCGAATACTTCCTGATTTACATTCGGCTGAATCAAGTATTACCCAAGTGATTTCGGAACCCTAACCTGCACAGGCAATACTGAAACCTTATGAAACTTTATGCCTTGCAAAAACTTAGACTTTAGTTTGCACTTAAACTTTTAACCCGAAACTGCTGGAACCTGGCTATCACTTCTCCTGCCTAATTTGGCATGTAACCAAAGTCATTGGGAATTGACTGGGATATGGGGTTAGGGATCAATTCGAGCACAAGTCCCTCTTGAGGACATTGCGTGAGGGCTTAAGAACCTGCCATGGCAGAGGCAATCTCACACATTTTTACATTTAATCCACTTTTATTATAGCCCTTTGGGGTCACGGCCATACGAACCCTCGGTTATTATGCTGATTGTGTTGACACACTCTCCGTCCGTTGTTTGTACTCCGGCCTTCCTATAGGAACTTTTATGTTTGTGCTGAGCTTGTCACTAAATATTTTATAAGCGCTTAGCTGAGTGTGTGTGCCACCTGGATAAAGGGATCCGCCTCCAGGTCAAAAAATAAATAAAAATTCAATTTTAGTTTTACACTCAGCCAGGAAGCCCATTGAAATCAGGGTTTGGCTTAGTGCGGCAATAGCACGTGCTAAGTGCGAATCTCTTTTCATCGGTCCAAATGGTCAAGCACTACTGACCTGATATCTCATGACAAATTGATTACCCGTGGCAAAGTTTTCCCAACAACTTTTCAACTTTACCCTACCGACAGCTGTCAAGTTTGGGATCGCCAGAAATTATCTCAACCCTTGCGACTTTTGTTTTTTTAATTTAATAAATGCAGATCGCAACGTCACACACCAAACTCTTTGAGCCCAATGACAATTTAGAACTGTGACTGGCCACAAAAATAGTTTTGTATTTTTGGTATTGGAAGAGGAGAGGAGAGAAATTAAACTTGGACCCTTTGACGGCATTGTGTTGGCTAAAAAAGTGAAAGTTAGGCACATTTCCAGTGGGATATTCAATGGGTTGTATGGTAGGTTTTTGCCGGAAAGGGTCGTGCAAAGCTTTAAAATTCAAAAAGGTCTGCCAATACATTACATCAACTGTGGGGTCTGTCTCCAGGGATGAGAGATTGAGAGGCATTTCTTAAGTTATTTTTTTCTTATTATAAGCTCAGCCTCATTTGGAGTACTCTGCTTGCATTGTAACCCACCATCAATTTGAAGAACCTCTTAAATTTCCCGCTCAAAACAAAAGAAAACTATACGTTTTCTTCTGTGCAGTAATGCATGACTTTTCCTCTTTGAGTTGAAAAAAATGTTCTGTTGAATTGCAACAAATATGAACAATCAATCTGTCTGTCTGTTGGAAAATCTATCTGGCAAAAATCTATTCTGGTTTATACTTATTTTTTGTTGCTTCTTTTTGCCATTCCACTTGTTTGCTTCCGTTTCCGTTTTATGCTTGTGCTCGATGCACAGATGCAGTTGCGAGTGGCATACGAATATATACATAAGTATTCATATATTTATTCAGATACTCGTACGCAGATGGATATTTGGCATGCTGTTAAAGTCACATTGTCTTCATTGTGTTAACAAGTCACGAAAATTACAGCTACTGTTATGTCAGACTATTATTTGAAAGTGTACTCTAAAAAAGGGTAAGATGGTTCTGACAAGTCAATTGTGATGTAAATATGTAAAAAAAATTGGCAAAGAGTAGGGATTAGGTAAAGTAACGAAAAGAGAGCAAGGAATCTGATCAGCAGACCTTATAAACACGCCCTCCAATTACGGAAGAATCGAAGTAAAATATACTTTTACAAATAATATGGGACAACATAACAATAAAATAACATAAAGGCGGTGGGACTATGAAAGGTTTTGTCGCTATTTACACTTTTATTCATACATATTCAACCTCGAAAGGATATCAAATCTTCAGTGGCCAATTTTATTTACATTTTACTCTCACAAATATTTTTCCAATATAGAAAATCAGTACATATTTTTGGTTGTCAATTGTTTATTATGCAGAATGCCAAGTCCCGTATTTATTCTGTCGTGCTTTTACTGGGAAAACAATGTAGAAACTATGCCAATACAAAAATGTGAACGTTTATTGAATTCATAATCGAACTTAAACAGGATATTATTATCCATTTAAGAGTGCTCTATAGAAACGTTCAACTAATTAAAATCACACTTATCAAGACGACGAGAACTAATAACTTATGATTACAAAAATCAGCGCGCTGCTGGCGTTGCTGAGATCGATGACTCCCAGATGACCAGCACCAACCATGTTGAGTGTCTGTTGTGACCCTTCGTTCAGCAGGACGACGTCGAGAGAGACAAAAGCCTCCAGGACCGTACGACTTCTGGCGTTGGTTCGGGAGGACCCCCAGTTCTTATCCCAGGCGTTGAAGTCGCCCAGTGCCCTCACGCCTCCAATGGCCCGCTTCGCCAGTGCAGTCCTTGGCCCATTTGAGGATTGGTTCGCTGAGGATTGGCAGCCCAGAGCCTCAGGGCGGCCCTGCAGTGATTCGGGTTGAGTGTCGATCAGGACTAGCCGACCCCGATGCTTGTGGGTGAACAGTTTCTGCCTCTCCTTCTTGATTTAAATTTCAAATTTCCGTTGGCGCTCAACTCCTACTCGGGTAACCGAACTCCAACAGTCTGGCAACCTTAGGTCATTTTTAGGCTGTCCGGCAGCACTGTCAGTGAAGCAACTCTGCGCGATCACCTGTCTCTGTGATCAGCTGCTAGGCGGGAAGCTCCAGTCGAAAACAGAAAGCAGAAAGCAGAAAAGTTGTGTGAAAATTGTTTTTCTTTCGCTATCAATGTGAATATTTTTGGATATCCCGCGCGGAACGCACTGATTTTGCCCCTGCAGCCGGGCGGGATGTCTGCAAGGCCGGATTTCATACACAGTACGTGCCAGTGCGTCTGTAACCTGCACTAAACATCTTTCCTTCTATTTTCCAGGCGGAGTACAGAATTATAACCGGAAAACTTGGAGCTCATGGTCGTGACGCAACGGCATTCGTCAATCGTTTAAACTTCTCTGATAATCGCTCAGGTGAGTGTGAGTGTGTGTCTGTGTTGACCAAACTCCTGGATACAATATAAATACAAATTACATTTTAGTTTTAAACACAGCCTCGAAGGCCATTGAAATCGGGGTTTGGCTTAGTGCGGCAATAGCACGCGCCAAATGCGAGACTGTTTTCATCGGTCCAAATGGTCAAACACTCCTGACTTGGCTTCTTATGACAAATTGATTACTTCGTGGCCAAACCGACAGCTGTCAAGTACCGGATCGACAGAAATGATCTCAACCTTTGCGACTTTATTCTTTAAATTTAATCAATGCAGATCGCAACGTCACACATCAAGCTCTTTGGGTTCCATGCCAGTTTACAACCAACCGAACTGTGACTGGCCACAAAAAAGTTTTGTATGTTATCTTAATGGAAGTGGTTAAATGAAACTGAGACCCTTTGAAGGCATTCAGTTGGCTGAAAAAGTGAAAGTCAAGCAGATTTGCAGTAGGTTTCGGGTTCGGAAAACGCGCCCACAGTGGTTGCGGAAAAGGGACGTGCAAAGCTTTTAAATTCCAAAAGAGCTGTCAATACAATACAATACACTGGCCCAGCCAGTGTGAGTCCCTTGATGAGAGTCAGTTTTCCTTCTTGTCATTAGTTGAGTCTCATAGGGAGTACTCTGTTTGCATTGTAACCCATCAACAATTTGAAGAACTCTCAAATGACCCTTGTTCTTCCGTGCAGTAATTATCTGCTTTTCCTTTTCTCAACAAAATCAATCTGTCTGTCTGTTGCAATATCTATCTGACAGAAATCTATTCTGGTTTATACTTATTTTTTGCTTTATTTTGCCATTCCATTGTTTGCTTCCGTTTGTGCACGTCGCACAGTTGCAGTTGCAAGTGGCACGGCAATATATTCACATATTCGTATGCTGATGGATATTTGAGATACTGTTAGATTTACATTGTCTTCGTTGTGTCCTTTTATACACTTATTTTCTTACATATTCAACCTCTTGTATTTTCCTTCAATTTTATTTTCACAAATATTTTTTTTTAATTCCTGGATTGAAATCTATAAATATTAAATACCTATTTTTTTAGACATATGTAAGTGTGGTCATCCACGAATTTGGAGACCCGTGCAAACGCTCCTTGGATAACCTTTAATGGGGTTTCCATTGATTTATATCACCAAAGCCGTTCCATGCCATGTATCAGAACTTTTTGTCAGATGGCACAAGAGAAGAAAAACTCCCATTTACTAATTGCAAGTTTTAATTAAATATCGACCTTCGATGCAATCGACAAAAGGGGACAAAAAGCAGCAAGGACATCACAGAGGAGAAGGCGTGATACCGCAGTTTGGGACAAGGCCACGTTGATTTTTGGCATCGTAGCAGGTACAGAGACTGTTTCAGGGATAGGAAGTTAGGACCCAAAGACACTTTCGCCAAAAAGGACAGACAATTCCTGCAAATGCAATGTCCACGGATGGGTTTGGCATTGGCGTTTGCGTTTGCGTTGGCCCTTCCGGCTCTGGTTCCGGTCGAGTCAGAGTAAACAAACGTTTCCGCTTTTAAAAAAGTGCTCTCATTTTTTGGCTGAATGGCCGAGCGACCCACTGGCGCTTCCGGGCGGTGTTGTTTGTTATTACAACCACAACCGACGACCAGCAGATAAGCAAAAAACGTCGTGCTACACCCTCAGACATTCTGTTGAACTATAAATAATAGTTACAAATTTTTTGTCGCCCTTTTTTCAGGCAAAACAGTTCAAGAGCAAAAGTTTCCATATGCAAAAATATAGTAACGAAAGAAAAAAGAGGACTGAATGGGTAAACTTAAAGGTGATGTAAAGGAACACCTTTCATGTTAGTTCTTGAAGAAAACAAAGTCTTCTAGAGGAGGAATTTTTTTCAAGCTTTTTTTTAAACTTTTTTGTTTAACTTTTTGTTAGGGCTACGACTGACGTTCTCTGTATTTTTTGGCCATAGCGCTATCAGGAGTCAAGAATGCCTTGTGATGTTTCTTAATTAGTGAGCAGCACTCTATGCAAGGAAATCAGTCTTTATGTGGTCAGCATAAAGAAAATGATTTCATGTTCGATGTGATTAATGTTGCCCTCTGCGCTTTTGTCTCACTGGAAAGCTGAGCTATGCGTTAATCAAATGTCAATTACTGCGGATACCAACATTGATGGCAGGAGCAACAGCAACAGCAGCCGCAACAGAGCAGAGGCCTGGGCTTACCAAGGATCCCGACACGTTTTCAGCGTTTTTGCCTTTTTTCCCTGGCACACAGACATAGAGGCACTGAGAGAGACAGCCACAGACACACAGAGGGAGGGAGAGATACATATATGTAGTGCCAATCATACTCGTATCGGGAGACAGGCATCCTTTGCTGCAGTTTGTTCCTTCGCTGCCCTTATCCTTTATGCAATTTGTCTTTATGAACCACCCTTTTTGCTCACTTTATTCGGGGGCTCCGTGGCATGCGGCTTGCAACTTTGAGCGTCTGGCGGTCCTGAGATATGCCCGACTTTACTTATGTTGCCTTCATTTTAAGTCTCCACTTTCGTATTCATTTTGATGGTCTTTAAATATCCCCGAAACCGACAGCTTTATGCATGTTAAACATTCGTCTGAGCTGGATTCTCAGTTGGCAGCTCCTGCATTCGCCTGGTAATGTAAAGATTATAGATCACACACATATGTACATGTACTCGCAGCATGCTGCTACAGTGCGTATGATTATCGGCCATCGGGCGTGCATTTGCACAGAGGAAGCATTCGTCAAGGGCCCAAGTACCCGGGGCCTCTCTACTCCTCTTCAGCCTCAGCCAGTTGCCAATGTTACGCATTGTCCCTAAGGCCGCCGGGGCAGCTTGGGGTGTGAAACCAGTTTCAAGCAGATTAACTAGTCCATTATCAAATTGCATTCCTGTCTTGATGGTGACATAATTGATGGATACGTTAATTGCACTTGGACTAGAATCCCTTCATATCAGCGTATTTTTTTCTGTTAGTTCTGATGGACATTCTGATGTACCTTCTGTCCTTCACAGGTTCTTCAGCTTCAGACTCGTCTTTCGGCTCGTTGCCTTCGTCTTTATAGGTCTACTTTAAGAAATGCGTACTACTCGCTATAACTCTATTAAATGGGTATTCAGCTCGTATATAAGCTGCAAACCTGAACGAAACTCTTAATGCCCCCAACCGTTCCTTGAAAGAAAAGTTGATGATAGACAATTGCTGGGGGCCGTTTAAAATTTCCCATGAAAAGATAAATATTTCTTTCATGGAGTAGATTACTTGTTGAGCTGCTGGCGAGCGGCATTTTCAAGTCTTAAATAAGAGCGATCTCTGCGGAAATAAATAATCTTGTTATGGAATAAAAGCCCATTAAATTATTCCCATTAGGCCGCTCGTTTTTGAAGTACATCTAATTTGCAACAATTGGAGAGCCCTCTAATAGGGCTGGATGGATCCCCGCAAAAAGGGGCAAAAGTCATCAAAATGTTTATACTCTTTTTATGAGCACACAAGCTGCGGCATATCACACAGTTAAACAATTCCTCTCGAATAGGCATATATGTATGTTGGGCTTTGGTTTTGTGCTTCTTTATTGTTCCTTGGGACATTTACTTTTATGGCGCGACTGGTTCAAGGTTTAGGCACTTTGATTATGACGTTAGTTCTAGTAGCAAATACAACGATGGCTGCGGGTCAGGGCGGGGAAAAACTAAAAGAACGAGAGTCCTTCTAACGTGGCTACATTTATAGACAAGAGGATCTGCCATTGGCGTTTCGCCCTGTGTGCTGGTCGGCCATTGCAGCAGCCAAAAAGGGAATGCTAAGTGGAACTTGTACTTGAGGACAAAGGATGCACAAAAGATACTAGCGTTCTCTGGCCTGGCTCGTTGTTACGTTATCTTAATGCGGAAGCTTCCAGCCGGAATTGGCACAAATAACTTCAAGGGAGAATAAGTCGCAAGCTCGGCAGCAACATTCGGCGAACATTCCGCTTTAAGCGTTTTATGTGACTGAGTGCGAGTACTATGAATATCAATACCCAACCACCTACCTCAGACCGGAGCCAAGTAAGAAGTGCCCAAGTGGGGGAAACATATTCCCAAAGTTTATCAGCTTGTTAGGCGGCAAAGTCACAGACGGCCCTGTCCTTGGGCCGTCAGCTGTCAACGGTCTCATTCGTTTTTTGCCGAACTCCGGCATTGTTCAGTTGTCTCCGGCATTAGCGGACAGGAAGTCAGCTGTTGTCCTGTGCGCTGTGTCATAAACTAAACAAAACATTCCCCATGACTCCTCCACATCGCACTCATTCTAGAAGATGGAGAGATACAGTATTTGAGCTGAATTTCAGAGAGGACCAACAAACAAACTGTTTATGTTAAGGAAGTCACGTAAAGTGTCGTGTTCCTATGAAACCCACAGGAGAACCAGCTCGAAAAAAAGCCAAGCCGAATCACAAAAGCCAGACGCAGGACAGGAGGTCGTCCGACCTCAACTTAATCTTCATCATCTGGCTGTGGTCTTTAAGATTCTGTGCTACTGGCAATTTAAAGTTAGATTTGATCGTAAGCCTCGACCCTTTTCGAGTATATTAATGGGAATTTCTAATTGCCTCTGTCTAATCAATGTGCGGCACTCTCATTCCACGCAACTCGTTGGTAGCCCCAAATTATGCCACCACCACAGGACTAAGCCTAAGACCAAGACTTTTATGAGCACTTTTGAGAAAAGTCCTCGGTTCGGCGGGGCATGGGGCTCTGCTTCTACGGCTAGGCATTGTTCCGAGGCTATTAATCAAATGAGAAAACCAATTTTTCAGAGTCTGGCATTAATTTGATTGGCTTTCCTCAGGCCACAAGGCAATGAAATGTTAAGTATAATATATCACCGGCTTGAGATTTGCGGAAAACAATATTAATTTAGTACGCTTTCATTTCTTTTTAGGCGGTTTTTTATATTTTCCTTAAATACTCCATAATAAAAGTCCGTTCTCCTGACA